CATGACAGATAGGTCGTTTGTTAAAATTGAAACGTATACTTGCTCAAATTGGGATGAATTTTGGTTGTCCGTCAACGAGACTAGATTGGTTTCTTAGTTTCGGTTGAATGTTTCATCAGCAGCAAAATTGGAACATGACTATATAAGGAACATCAGTCTGCGTGTCATGTTAGCTGGGAATCGACTTGAAACAAATTCATCGGGTGAGGAAATCTGATTACCAAAATAGAATTGTTCGAAAACGTAAATTCGGAGGCAGACAAAATTCAGGTTAAAGAAAAGTGAATCCAAAGATGACCAAAGAACTTCGTACACTATTCAGTGAATAGGCGCGGTCATCAAGTCAGCATTCAAGATACCTTGCATAGAATCGCAGATCAAAGTTTCAGCACAAGGCATTGACATGCACCACCCGATTTCATGAATTCACTCATGTCCACTTCGACAACTTCGAATCCACGTTTCTTCATCTCGCTTCTCGTCGTTTCAGCCACCCCTTTGGGCGCTATTACTGTATTTCGTACCGTAATCGCGTTACAAACGAAAGCTTTCGCTTCAGCATCGTTCACGGCCACAGAGTCGGGCATTCGTTTCATAATCTGTGAAATTAACAGCGTATACTGTGTACTGTAGAATGCCAGTTGGGTTTGGGATTTGCATTATGCTTAAAATTAGTTTTACGGTACACTTGGATTTATGGAAGCTATCCTTTAGCTACATAAGGTCAAAGAAGGATTCAGCCATTCACATTTCATGAAAAGTGGAAAATTTTCATACGAATCATAAAGATTAGCCACTGGGCCTCTAGATTCCTTTTAAATCGATATAATATCGAAAAATCAACTCAATGGTTATATCGATCATGAAAACGGTAAAAATGATCATGAAATGATCGATTTCTACAAAATCTGCAAACAAACAAAGTCAATGACATACTTCTTTCTTGGCTGGTTCCTGGAAGGCAGGTGGATACCATAAGGCGCATTTCTCGCTGACGGGTGTGAAGCAAGTGTCCAAGTGATAGAATTCAGGATGCGTCAGTTCGCATAGTACCAAATCGAATTTACCAAGCTTTCTGACGTGATCGTAAACCTGAAATTAGCATTATTACAAAAAGAATAGTGTTGTTGAATTCATGTTGATTGTAGTCAATGTGCATTATATGAAGAATTAATGCTAAATTTTTAAGTGCCAATAAAGAAATTAATTTTATGCTATTGAATGAAAGCAGTGAAAATTTTGATCATTTCAGACCGAAAACTGAAATATGTGTCAAATATCAAATAAAAAACAAATATCAGTATCAAAAATTGAAATCAAATATCA